GTCAGCTGGCTGTCACCCAGGGGCCCCATGCATTTCTGGCTAAGTATGAACCACCCATGGGTAGCATGGGGCTAGGGCGAGGGGACATTCATCTCCCACTATCTGTCTTTGGAGCTGCAGGCTCAGAGTGTTCCTCTTGTGATGTCATAAAGCGACTGATGTCTTAGTACATCCGGCAAGAATTATTTCCTCTTGTTCTCTTCCTACAAATTGGACTTTATGATCCATTGAATTTTGCCTTCCCGTTTTTCCAACATTTCTCATGTTCTGCCCTTATTTCATCCCCTCTCCTGGGCCATGCCACCGAGGGAAGGGCGAAATGTTGCTTAGCAACCAGTATGAAGCCAATCAATAACTTCCCTAATATTAACCCTCTGGTGACAAGCAGGAAGTCCAGTCACTCTGTGATAGCCCTGTCCCCTAGACATTTTGTTTGCTTTTGCTTCTATTAGTATATGCTTAAAGCGCATGTCACGATGACATTCCTTGTGTGGCGTTGGTATGTGTACGTGACCCATCTTGATGATTTTTTCATCACCTTCCTCTCCTCCGCTGTCTTCCTCCACCTCTTGATCCATTTTCTATTTGAGAAAGAGCTACCTCTCTACTTTTTAATATCTATCTTTTATTTTAATTTTTGTTTCTATTCGGGTTTCTTATATAAGAGAAACCACGTGATATTTAAATTCATGTGTCTGATTTATTTCACTTCACAGTACGGTCTCAAGGTGCATCTGTTTCCCTACAAATGGTTCATAGTCCTCCCTCTTTATGGCAGAGTAGTACTCCTTATTCATAAACACCATGTTTCCTTTGTCCATTTCTCTGCCGGTAGACACACAAGCTGCTTCCCTACAGGCTTTAAGGATGAGCTCACAAAATCTGGCCGCCCACCTTTATGCTCTAGCCCTAAGCGTCAAGCATGTTTGTAGGGAGCTGTAAGTATTAGCAGGTTACACTCTTGCAAGTTGTAGATATTGTTTACTAAAGTGCTTCCCTTTTGGATTTTTTTCTGGCTCATGCTCTCTATTAGTACATACAGTTTGCATTCCTGGTGGGACGTTGGTGCACGTACATCATGCGTCCTAGTTCTGTTTTTGTCTCCCTTTGCTCTCTCTTCCCTCCCGCCTCTCCATGCACCCTTGGTCTGCTTCCTTTTCTGGGACCCGTATACAGCACTGATGCTCACCTCCTGTGCCTCGAGCCGGTACATACACATCACACATCTTAGTCCCTCTTCCAGCCCCATTTCCCTCCCCCCATCCTCCATCTGCTAATTCCTTTTCCCTTTGATAATGGTTATCTTATGTTGGTCTTTATTTTTACTCAGTTTTTCATGCAGGAGAAGCCATGTCATATTTTTTTAAAAAATTATTTTAATTAATAATTTTATTTTTATGTATTTGGTACAGGGTTTCTTTTCACTAAGCAGCTTGGACTATTTTCAGCCTCCTCAGCACTGGGATTACAGGCATGTGCTACCACATCCAGTCTCAGTGGCTCAGTGCGCCTTGGGGTGGGGCCGGCGTGGCATGTGGTGTTGGGGATTGAACCCCAGTCCCTGCACTTACCTAAGCAGGTGCTTAGTGTGCTGAACTATCTCACCAGCCTTCATATGATATTTAAACTTGAATAGAGGACGTAGAGACAACCCCATGTCAACTCATCTAATTGATCTTCGACAATGGCGCTAAAAACACAGTGGTAGAGAGTTAGCTTCTTTAGTAAATGGCACTGGGAAAACTGGCTGGCTATGTGCAGAAGACTGAATCTAGACCCACATCTCCCGCCATGCACTAAATTAAATTAATAATGGGTTAGATGCCTTGACTGGACAGCATTCTTCTACAACTCTTTAATCTTTCAGGAAGCGAGTGTAAGACAAGAGAAAAATAAGTATTGACTTGCTCTGTCCCCACCACTGGGCTGAGGCTGTGCATAACTGCTTAAAAGCCTTGTAGCATTAATTTGCCCTGTGCAAAATTGTTTGTATAGCTGGCTTTCTGTGTCTTTTCTGACATATGTGCTTCCCTTTTTGTGACAGATCTTTCACAAGTCCTCCTACACTTAGAAACCTCATGCCAATCAATGTCTTCTCTAGTTGAGGAGATAGTAAGTTGATCTTTCTCCTTAGGGTGTTGTTAACTTTATTGAGATCTCTACAGGAGTGTCTCTGGAAGCAGGTCAGAATTTATTGTGGCTCTCCTGACAAACAGAAGGCTTAGTATGTTTTGAGCTGATTTGGGTTGGCTAAGGGGGTGATTTTCCCCTTGCCTTGCAGGTTGACCCCCACTTGGGTATCACGCATTCCTTGGGTCTCATAGTTCCCGTATCCTTGCTGAGTGGTGAAGTCATATGCTCCTACTCTGTTTCCTTTATGGGTCACTACTTGGCAGCTCTTGCTCTTTGTCTCTGTCATCTGGTTATTCTGATTGGTGGACAAAAGTGTCTATAATGATTGGATTCTGTAAAGCAAGCCGGAGATGATGTCAGCCCTAATGACCCTAGGCACCCATTTGTGAACTACAGTGCCATGGTGACATGAAATTCATCAAGGGGTGGCTTGAACTGGTGTTTGGTAGCTGTCTGTAAAGCCAGCAGGTATGAAGTCCCCTGAGAGATTATCATACAGGACTCCTGGTTTTACTTGACTTTGTTTAGAACACAAGGTGAGAGAGAACATACACACTGGAACTAGATGAGGCGTAATTCTAGAAGCTCCCATTATTAAGTACCCACTGTGTGGCGGGCATTCTTCTAGACATGCCCTTTGTACACGTTGTCTTTCAGTCTCTCAGCAGCCTTGCTAGGAAAGTACTCGTCTCCCTGTTTTGTAGATAAGAAAACCAGGGCACAGCACACCGCTGTGCTATTTGGCTTCCTTTTGAAGGCAAGGAGAGCTTACACTGTGGTGAACAAGGTAGATGTGAGTAATGTGGGAATGCCCCCTTGGGCAGTCCCTAGGCTAGTTTCCACTCCATGAAAGCATTTAGTCATTGAAGTTTGTCGCGCTGTCCAGCTAACACTGTGGCAGGACAGGAGAGGGTACAAAGGAACTAAACTAAAAATCTCAGGGGCTAGAGAGATGGCTCAGTGGACTAAGGGCTTGCCTGGCATGCGCAGGGGTCTGTGTTCAATTCCTGGTTCTGCAAAAA